CCCCGGGGGCGTGGATCGTAGTCCCCCACGCCCACTCCTTTCGAGCATCTTCCCCTATCCCCCCCACCCCGGGACGCGCCTACCCCATCTGCCCGAGGCTTACCCAGGGGTGCTGTCCGCCCACGCGACCCCTGTGACCGCGTCTGAGCTCCTGGGAGGGGCTTGGGCGGGCCGGGACCCGCGGGACCGGAGGGGGCGGTGTCAGGTGAACCGGAGGCGGGCGGGCGGGGTTCAGTCTCGCCGTTCTTCCCCTGCAGGCGCGCGGTAGGGGGCCGTGTGCCGGCCCCGCCTCGCCCGCTCCTACCCCTCGTCCCCTCTGTCTTCGCAGCACCCTACGCCGCTACCTGCGCCGGCCCTCGCCAGAGGCTCTCCCCGCTGTGGTCGTGGCCCTGCTCCCAGGACCCCTCGCTGACGCCCCCGCCCAGTGAGCCTCTAGCTCTGTCGCTTTTCTCTAAGTAAAGATTCACATCCACCTGGCTCTCGCGTCTCCTGAGCAGCCTCGGTTCCTCCGGCCTTTTTCCTGCCCCTCAACCCCAATTTGGGCGAGCACCCGCATCTTGTCCTCCACTGCCTACAGGGACCCCTGAGGGACCTCGGGGAGCAGTGATGGCCGCGGAGGGCAGTGAGCTGGACACGAGGCTCACGCAGCTCATGCGTACAGGGGAGGAGGCAAGGGCCATTATGCAAGCCTGCCTGGGGGCCAAAGCCCCAAGTGGACAGGCCCTGGTTTGGTCCATCGCTCTGCTGGGTACAACGGAATAAGCTCGCTTCCACCCAGGGAAGCCTCCCAACTGACCGCCATCTAGCCCCAAGCCCAGCCATGTCCATCACAGTCTACGGGTGCTGGGCCTGGTCCCTAAGCCACTCCCCCATCTGGTGGGAGCGTCTGAATCCCTGGGCTCTGGGCAGCACCCACATACAGTTCCTGCCCACAAGCTGCACTGCCCACGAGATGAGTGACTGGATAAAGCATCAAGCAGATGCTCATGTGAGGGCACGTAGGGCATCCGGGGGAGGGGTGTAAGCTGGCCCTTGGGGCCCCAGAGGGCCCCATAGAACACTCGATCTTCTGTTTTCTGGAAGCTAGAGGTGGGGCGGTAGGTCTGAGGGCCCATGGGTGCCCTGAGCCACCAAGAGTCTTCTCATTCACCCTGGCAGCTCACTTTGGGAAGCACAGCCTGCCCTACCTCCCCCTACCACAACTCTGAAAGGTCCCAGCTCTGCCCCAACCTGGGTGGATCAGACTGTGCCCCTCCCCTGAAGCCCTTGTCCTCCTCTGATGACTGGCCCCCAGGCCCAGATACCCCACTGGTTGGAGGTGAGCTCAGGCCTGGGGACTAAGAGCTGGGCTTGGCAGACAGGAATGACAGGGCCTGGGAAGCCCAGGCAGCCGGAGGAAACAGCTGGAGACTGCTGCCTTACATGGGTGGGAGTTCCTGGGGAGCTCCCCTCAGCCCCAGTGCAGAGTGCCTGCCTTGAATGAGAGCCCGGAGCATCTCTGCGGTGTCAGGTGACCTGTCTAGAGCCAGTGTCAGCAATCTGCCCTGCAGCTGAGCACTGGGGCTGGGTGATTCCCAAGGTGCTCAGAAGAAGGGTGGGAATCTGACTGCTAGGCCTCCAGCCTGGCAATGTAGGGGGTCTGGGCAGCCTTGGAACAGCGGGTGGGGTCCAGAAGATGAGTGAGACCCACACTGGAGGCAAGGTGGAGGGAGGCAAGGTGGAGGGAGGTGAGGTTAACTCCATAATGTGCCTAAGGTGGCTTCTGACAAGGTTTTTCCCTATAAAACCACCATTTTTCCCTTTCTAAATTAATACACATTTTGTGGAAGATGCTTTGAGACTGGTGAGTAATAATATTTACATAAAAACCCCTCACCTAGTAATAGCATCCAGGGAAGATTTTTGTCCGAATCAATAACAATATTTTCCAAGTGATAATTTTCTACATTCAATTGATTCTTCTACAATTCTTAGCCGACTATAAGGAAGACCCCCCTGCCCTGCCCCCCATTAAGTCATTTATTTATATCAGTGGGACCCATGGATTCCTGCGACCGTTCTTAATCTAGTTTTGGGAGTCAGGATGTCTCTGGCCAGGTGGTCCATGGCTCAGGGCTCTGTTAGCTCACCCTGCCCTGGAGAAATAACCTGAGTTTGTATGTTAATGACGATGTCTACACAGGCAGTTTGGGTACATTGGCAATTTTATTGACAACAGGAGTTTTAGTCTTCTGACTCTGGTTGGTGAGTGTTCAGTGAGTGCAGGACTGAGGTCTGAGGGCACAAGAAAGGGAACAAAGTTTTGGGTGGTGAGATGAATCATAAACTCAGTAAGGGCACTCGGGTTTAGGGGGACTCAGTTTCAGAGGCACACCCAGTGGCTGGACTTTGAGGGTAGATGTGTGTATACACACTCATACACACATCTAGATCTCTCTCCTCTAAGCGTATGTGTGTATGTGCATAAGTGCACATACATGCATAGACACAACCCTCATAAATCTGTACGACATGCCCACACATCTACACACATGTGTACAACACACAGGGAACTCCTGGAGTTCCCAGTGAGACTCTCCTCCTTCCCGTGATGGGAGCCCCTTCTCCGCAGAGACACCTGGCTCCTGTCATCCTCAGTATACTTACTCGCTAGTCTCAGAGTGCGCCGCACTTTGCCTCGGAACTGGTGTCCGTACCGCGACAGAAGTGAGCCTGCAAACTAGAGGAGGGCGTTTGCCTTCAGCCTGAGGGTGCATAGTCAAAGCGCCAGGCCAAAAGTTACTTGGAGCTTTTCTTTTTTTCACATCAGTGCAGTTATGCCATTCCTTTGAAACATAGAAGAGTCCCTTATTACTGCTTATACTCCCTTTTAGTGTCCTTTCCTCATTTTTGTTGGTTTTATTATATTGTTTTTTAGCGTGTAATATTAACATGGTTCCCAAAGGCAAAACCACACAAAAGAAGTCCCAGATAAGACACTTGCCTCCCGCCCGCCCCCTGAAGGAACTCAGTCTTACTAGTCTAATTCCGCCTTCCTGTGTATCTTTTTGCAGAAATACGCAGATGCACGTGCATTTTTTTACTTATTCTGCTTCACATTTTTCCCCTGAAGGTTTTTTTTTCCACAACACCCACAGCAGGTACAAGACAGTCCTCTGCTGACCTCGGTGCTGTGTCCCCCACCCTGTCCACTTGGAGGAGGGTGGTGGCGAGGGCAGCTCTGGCCCATCCCCACTGTCCATAGTGAGTGAGGCTCACCTGACCCACAAGGCAGAGCCCAGCCAGGTGGAGGGGCAGTGGAAGTAGGGCCCTGGGGCCTGTCTACTCAGAGCCCTGGTCACTCCTGCTAAATGCAGGCCCAAGCTGTGATGAGGTCACCAGGGCACAGCAGCCCCGTCCTGGGGACCTCACTCTCCTCTCACGGGAAACCCACGCGGCCAAGGGAGAGGCCCTGGGGTGAACACCAGGGGGTGGTGCTCCAGGTCTGAGAGTGAGCCTGGGACAGCTGCCTGACCCCTGGTGACCAGCAGCCTTGTCAGGGGGTTCCCAGCACTGGTTAGAGCCTCAGCCCCACCTGCCTGGGGTCACCCTGCTAAAAACCAGCCCAAGACTGAGGAGAGGCATTTTGGGGCGTCTGCAGGGGGTGGAGCTCCAGGTCCCTGAGAGGCACAGAGGAGCCTGCACCTCCATCCTCACCTGTCCAGGGTGGTGATTTGGGGTCCTGTCCTGGGGCGGATAGTGGAGGTCAGGCACTCCACCGTGAAGGCCGCTGCTCCTGCTGCAGCAGGTATGCAGGGCCCCGTCCGACCCCCCCCCCAAGCCACTGACCTCTCGTGCAGGTGGCGAGGTCAAGGGGCCAGAGCAGGCAGTGTGACAGCCCTGGGTCCAGGCCCTGGAGGGTGGGCTGGGGTCCCTGTGTTCTGGAGCCATTGGCCTGGGTCATGCAGCCTTGGAGTGGGTGCAAGGGGGTGGCCAGCCTAGTGGGCACTCTGGGGGGCCACTCCTCCAGGTCTAGCATCCCCCACAGCCGACACTGCCTGCCCCAGTGGGGGATCTGCACAGCAATGTGGGGCTGGCCAGGCCAGGGGCACTGGAGCAAGGCTGGCTGAGGCACTGTCGTAGGCTCAGTTCAAAGGAGGCTTAGATTCCCAACAGCCTGTGTGAGAGCAGAATGGCTCCTCTAATGCTTCTCCTTTCTGATTGCACAAATATACTATTTCATGATGAAAAATCTTGGTCTTTTGACGAGAGACCTCTGCCCTCCCTTTTGTCTCTCTGCCCTCTTTCAGATGCACCGCTGGGCACCACCGAGCAGGAATGCCACTGTTGTCACCGGCATGCCCGAGGAGCCCATGCACGTGCCTGTGCGTGCACAGCGAGGCCATGCCCACCCCCGTCCCCAACCTCCAGCCCCAGCATGGCCTCCCAGGGTTTCCTGTGATGCAACCGGGAGTCTGGCCCTGAAAGGCTGACCAGTTGCCCGGCTCTGCATGCGAGGCTCCAGTGCTCTCTGATCCAGCTGCACTCAGCACTGAGTGGACCCTCGGCCTGGGCAGGTGTGGCCTCAAGTCGGCTCCTCCGTGTCTGTGGGTGTCACCTGTGCCGTCTAGGAGCCAGCTCTGACCCGGAAGTTGGGTGGGTGGTCCCACACTCAGACTTTGCAGAGGCTGGAGGACCCAGCGGAGTCCAGGGGGCCCCTGGAAGGGAGCCGGAGCCTCCACTGCTACAAGAGGCTCTTCTCCACGTGGGGCCCAGATGGCTTTGGGGCTCACAGGTGCCCACTCTGGGGCAGAGCCTGTGGTCATGTCTTGGCCCTGCTGCTTCCCCAGCGGCCCCCAGCCCTTCAACGTACAGGAGTGCCAGGCCCCACCAGCCACAGAGAGGCTGTGTCAGGGCCCATCTTTGGGGCCACCGAGGTTCAGGCTTCTCGCTGTGACCAGATTCCTGTCTGGTGCCATTGCTGGTGCGGACCCCCGCCCGGAACCCCCCCTTCTCTGCCTCTCTCACTGTTGCCTGCTGCTCAGTCTCCTCTGGAGGGAGATCCTCTCCGTGCGGCCCTGGCCCCAGGACAGAGCGGGCCAATGCTGCCTCCAGCAGGACAGTCGCCTTGTGATTCAGCTTGATTAACACTTGGTAAGAGAAGCCCAGGGTGCTGCCAAGTTCAAGAGCAGACCACGGAAGAAACTGAAGCAGAGAACTTGTTACTGATGGGGGAGGTCAGGTGGGTGTAGACAGAGAGGCCGACCCCAGCACGAGCCTGCATCGGGTTCCGTGGGGAGAGTGCTTTGAGATCCCTGGGCTAGCGGGCAGATCGGCCAGTTCAAACCAAAAGAGTGGGATTTTGGTACACTCTGCGGGGAATGGGGGTCTCATCTAAGGAGTGCTGGGGAGGGCCTGGGAGGGAGGGCACTGTCACTCACAGTGCTGCTGGGAAAGCCTCCAGAGCCTCACTTGCCTGTGCTTCTGCAGCTGCGGTCCAGGGCCTGCACCTGGGAAATGGGTGAGGCAGAGACACCACGCAGCTGCTTAGCCAAGCTCTGGCCAGCACAACACCTGGGAACATCTGCCCAGCACCAGACTTGCAATCCGCCAGCTGCTCGTCTACGGATTGGTAAGGGCGCAACTGGGACTCTCAGGAGACACTCCTGCTGGGCCCCCACACCCAGGATCAGGTCACGTCTGTGCCCCTCAAATGCCGCTCTCTCAGCAGAAGCGCCACCACCTCTGAGCTCAGAGGCCTGTCTTCAGGGGCAGTGTTTGTGGACGGACAGGCTCCGCTGCTGGACTGCAGGAGGCCATGCTGCAGCCCCAGACTCACTCTCCTCCAGAAGGGGAAGGATACCGACCCAGGGTCTGCGTCTCAGGAGCTGGGACGGAGCCGGAGGGGAGGCAGGCAGCACACAGCACCCACCCAGTCTGAAGTCCATCTGGGTCTGACCAGCAGATATCCGCACTGAGGACAAACGCAGGCTGTTTTCAGCCGAGGATGGCTTGTGGCTGGCCCCCATGGGCTCTCAGCACGGACGGCAGGCGCACAGTGTGTGTGTGTGTGTGTGGCTGAGAGTGAACCTCGGGGTCCATCTGATCTGTGTCCCAGCAACGGGGGCAGGTTCCTGGAGGAGCTATTCAGGGGGCCCAGGGAGCCAGCGCACTCCGCCCCGGCCCCTGGACATGCACTGACCATCCAGAGATGGGCAGTGACTATCTCCCGAGGGTCCCACAGCAAGACCGCTGCTTCCCCAGCCTCCTCCCAGGTAGTCTGACAAAGCCCTCCTCTCCCGACTGTCAGGCTGGAGCAGGACGCCAGGCCTGAGGGACTGCTGCTGGTAACCTCTACCCTCAGAGCAGCCTGTGGGTCCTCTGGGTGCTGCAGGGGCCTCAGGGCCGCCCGGCTGGGCACAGCTGACGAAGTGGGGAGGCCTGTGTGCGCCGCCCAGAGCTCACTGCTGCCAAGTCTGCAGGGCCAGCTCAGCGGCAGCTGGATGCCCAAAAACAGGCCCTGCCCCCAGGCCCCTCCAGCTGTCACACAGGGGGAGCCCTGAGCCACCCTTGTCTCCTCAGCTGCAGAGAGACGAACCGGCAGAAGCACAGGCCCAGTTCCAGGTGGCCCGGAGCCCCGGGAGCGTCCTCGGAGTCGGGGAAGTGCGCGTGGGCCAGGCAGCAGGCGTAGCTGGATGAGAACTGCACCAGGGCCTCCCGGAACAGGGCCTCGCCACCCGGCGCCTCCAGGAAGGCCTCCCTGCAGTCCCCCAGCACAACGTACACGAAGTGGAGCCTGTTCATGGTCTTGCTGCCCATCAGCACCGAGTGGGGCGCCAGCAGCAGGTTGGCCTCACCCACCCTGAGATCCAGCTCCCGCGTCTTCCTCTTAGAAAACCTTCTGAACCAGCACAAAGTGTTAATGCCTAAGATCATAAAGAAGGGGCAGAAAAATATGTTGGCAGTGATCAGGAGGAGCCGCTGAGGAGGCTGGTTTGGCGAGAGCCCCAAAACCAAAGGGAGGAGGATTGATACTAAGGAGAGGAGAATCAGGAAGATGCCCAGTGTGATCCTGCAGCCCAGGTACCGGAGGCAGGACCGAGGTGACTGCACCCCATTCAGGATGCCCACAGCATGCCTGTACACCTCGGGGTCCTCCAGCACCGGCTTCAAGGGGTCCGGGACGGCCAGGGTGCTGAAGGTGCCCACTCTCCAGGAGGGCAGGCTTTCCCTGTTGATGCAGTCCAGGGTCAGCAGGGTCTTCCCGCTGTAGAGGGAGGGGGCCGAGCGCAGGCCCAGGGGGCGTGCCACGCGCTGGTTGGGTGTGCACAGGAGCTGCACCACCTTGTGGTAGAAGCGGCCGTCCGTGGCCTCCAGATAGGTCAGGTGGCTGAGGTACAGCGGGACCTGGCAGGGCCTTAGCAGGACCGGGATGACCGGCTTCTGCTCCAGGCAGGAGCCAAAGAGGGACAGGTCGGCCTCCAGCAAGCACCACCGGCTCTGCACGAAGTCCTGGCTCAGGACCAGCAGCACCTTCTGGCTCTGGTGGATGCAATCGGCCATGTTCTCCAGAACGTTCCTGCCCGGCATGAAGTCCCGCTCATGCAGGCAGACCTTCAGCCCTGCGTGGTCCACCTCCAGGCGACTGATGAGCCCATGGGTCCACGCGGCGTCCACGCTGCTGTAACTCACGAACAGGTGGTACTTCTCGCCAGCCTTCAGCGGGGGGATGGCAGGGGCCGCACCTTCCTCCTCGGGACAGGAACCCATGGGCATGCCCCGAATCTGCCTCTGGTCCCCAAGGAGAAAACTGCCCTTAGGCTGCAAGAGATGGAGACAGCCTGACTATGCGGACAGACTGCGGCCGACTGTCTATAGCAGTGGAGCGGCTGCCAGCCTGAGAAGCTGCAGCTAACCACCCCTGCCAGGATGCAGCCAACCACTGTCCCTCTTCCCCTTCCAACTCGAGACCCACTGGTGAAGGTCACAATGTGCCCCTCACCAACCTCGAGGATGCAGCCTCCTGGGGGGACGGGGGCCCCGAGCTCTCTTCCCACTAGGAAGCCCTCACTCCCTGGCTTGCCTTTGGGTCTCTGCCAAACCCACATGACGTGGGACCCCACTGCAGCGCACCCTGGGGAACCAGCCTCTGCTGTGCCCACGGGGCATCTGAAGGGGTCTGGGTGCCTGCTGGACATGCCTCCCAGGCCTTCTTTCCCTTCACATGTGGCTCACGTGTCACTGGCCATGGGGGGTTGCTATAGACTGAGTGTCTGGGTCCCCCCAGTTCACACATTGAAATCCTAACTCCCAAGGTCCAAGAGGCAGGACTTATGGGAGGTGATGAGGTGGTGATGAGGCCCCGCAATGGCATCAGTGTCCTTTGGAAAGAGACCCCTGAGAGCTCCTCCCCCCCGCCCCCTCCCCACAGGAGGACCCGGCGAGAAGGCAGCATGTAAAAGCCAGGAAGCGGAACCCAGCCTCCGGAGCAGTGGGAAGTGACCCTGTGTGGTGTGAGCATCAGGGTCGTGTCCCGCAGGGCCACAAGTGAACTGAGCCCGCAACGGGCAGCCACACTGTCCAGGGCACTAGGACGTCACTGCTCTGCTGACACCCTCCCATAGAGACCCTGCTGCTCAGCCTCACCAGGCGGAGGCCTGAGCTTGAACTGCCATCACTTGGCGTCTGTCTGCTTGTGTCTAAGAAGCCTCTTCCTGGCTCAATCCTGGGAGCTCTCCTGCACTTCCATGGCCAGCTGTGGTGGCCCCAGCAAGCGGCCCTCCCTCTGAAGCCCAGCAAACCTGCAGGCACAAGAGGGGCCGGGACCTCACTGTGGCCGTTGGCCTCATTTGGGTGAACAGAGTGAGGGTCACAAGGTCCGGGCCAGCCCTGCAAGGTCCCAGGCCATCTAGCCAGCAGCTCCAGGAAACCATCTCCCCACCCCCTTCCACAGGGCCCCAACCCCCACCCGCTCTAGTGACAGGAAGACACCACACTTTCCCGGCTAGCAAGCCCTTCCACCTTGGCTGACCCCTCCCAGAGGTGGCAGCTGAGCAAGTCTGGCCTCTCAGGGCCCCTCCCTGGGGGGGCTGCAGCCTTCCTGCATTTCCTCACCTGCACCTCCAAGTGGGGCCGGGCGCACCCTCCGCGGCGTCCAGGGGTCCAGAGGCACAGGCGGCCCTGTGCTGTCCAGTCCTCACTCCAGTCCTCAGAGGAGGCGGCAGGCAGCCGGGGACGACCCCTGGAGCTGTCGTGGGACAGGAGAAAGTCTGCAGCTGACGCTCTCTGGAGGCATCTCTACTAAAACAAACAGGCGCAGGAAAACGAAAGCAGGAACCAGATTGAGGAAGGAGGCGGGCTGAGGAGAAGTGGCCCAGCACCACTGGAGGCCCAGGAGGCAGGATGGCCAGAAGGTGGTGTGGTGCTGGCCATCAGGGCTCCCTGAGGGACCCCGCACTCTCTGGGGAAGCAGTGAGTGGAGGGCCAGGGCGACAGGGTGAGCTTTGGCTGGGGTCAGCAGGGCAGGCCTGACTGGCGTGGGGGTGGGGCTGTCCCTAATTGCTCTTCCGGTGCTGCATCCTCCAAGGGAAGGTCCCGGCTGCTGGGTGACCCTCCCCAACAGAATCTCCTCCAGTAACATCCTCCTGCTCAGCCTCTGCTCCGGTCCCCCCAACCCCACTGCATCTCCCTCCACAAGCCCCAGGAGCAGGAGGCGGAGCTCCCTCGGTCCTCCTGCCCACCCCACAGCAGGGCCTGGCCTTTCTCCCGCCATTGCTGTGCCTTCACCGGGCCACTCCAGGGCCCCTAGATGACATAACAGTGTGCCCGCGGGGCTGCCAGGGCCTCCACACCCCAACCAGACCAGAAAGACCCCTACTGCCCCCCTGGAGGCAGAGCCCTGGGGCTGTGGCTGGTGGGTGGGCAGGCTCCCTCTCACCCCAGGGTCCAGCTGGAGGCCCAGCCTGCCCGGGAGAAAGTTCTGCTGGGGATCCTCAGGACAGCCATCCAACACCCCCACACCCAGTGTCTCCAGGAAGCTTCACCCAGCGGCCAAGCCAGCCACTGGTGCCAGCTGCCCAGAGGGGCACCAGCTGCAGCCCCCATTGTCCTTCCTCTCCTTCCCCCTCCATCTCCCTCTCAGGTCTCCCTACCCCTCCCTTCCCCTACCTGAGGGCCAGCACCGTGTGTGTGCTCGGGCCTCTGAGGGTACCTCCTGTCCAGTGGAATCCCAGCAGGGTGGTCAGTGAAGGCTCAAGCCTGCCTGGGAGCCAGACCCCACACACCCCTGCTTGCACACACGTCCACACACAGACATACTCCTGTGTGCACCCACGCGTCCACATGCGCACACGTGTCCATACACACACAGACAGACACACAGCCTTATGCTCATGGGCTCAGCCTGGAAGTGGGGTGGCTTCTCCCTTCCGACCCCAGCAGATAGCAGGCCAGCTCGGGAGCTGGAGGTGGAGCCCTTTCTGCTGGCATTTTGGGTGGAAACATCCCCACTTACCGTGAGTCAGAAAACCGCCCTTCCCCGTGTGCACTGTGCCTGTGGGTGGGTGACCTGTGACCCCACAGGCTAGGCTGGATCACTCTGCTGACCAAGGCAGTGCCAGGCCACTCTGAGGGCTTGGTCAGCATCCGGAGCCAAGCTAAGCAGCCCACAGCCCCACGTGGCCACAGAGCCCGAGACATGGCTGGTCCTAGTGAGCATGTGCGGTGAGTAGAAAACACATGCCGGGTTTCAAAGACTTGCTACCAACTGGATGGGTATGTTCTTCATACAAAGCACCAGCACCGCGATACAGAAAGTGAACATGGAAATGGTAGAGAATTTGTGTTATGGGGAGAAAGTTACACGTCATTGCAAAATACAAATACCGTGCGGCACGTTTAATCCCAGACTGCTTCAGTCTACCCGCCCTCCATTAAACAATGTAATTTCAAACTGAACAAAACAGTGCAACTGAAAAAGAAACTTCTCTGCCCACAAACAGGGTGACAATGTCTCTAACAATTTTTGTACTGGCTATACGTGAAAGTGATCGCTGGTACATCAGGTTAAACAGATGTAGTGTTCAACGAGGTTCCCCCGCTTCTTTTTATGGTTTTGATGTAGCTACTAGACCACCTGCAGTTACACACAGGCTCACGTCGCGTTTCTATTGAATGACGCTGCATGGACAAGTCACTGGTCCAGATGGGGTGGGAGCACAGCAGTCAAGTGCTGGACAAGGGGCTGCGCAGGCGAAGGGCAGCAGGAAGGGCCGGAGGGGGCCAGGCCTGGCAGCCACAGGCCAGGAGAATGTCCGGGGGCAGGTGGCACGAGCAGCCTGGGCTGAGAGGGGTCGGGGGGCTGTGCTCCAGAATCAGGGACCCCTCCTTTCCAGGCACAGCTGGCTTCATCTTGCTGCAGGAAGCTGGGCCTGGCATGGTGGGGCAGCGAAGCCACCAAGCATGGCCCATGGGAGTAGGAGAGTGGGGGGGTGCCTCGGCCACAGCCATTCCTGCTATGACATACACTCCACGTCCTGAAGACATTTCGTTCTTTTACACAATTCACAAAATAAGGCAGCCTATCACTCACAACGCGCAATCTGGAATCAACCCAGATGTGCACAAGTGATGAAGGGTTACCAAAACATGGCAAATCCACACAATGGAATGTGACACACCATTAAAAGGAATGGGGTGCAGTGCACATACGACAGGGTGGATGCACCTTGGAAACATCACCCTGAGTGAAAGGAGCTGGGCGTGAAGACCACGTAGAGTCTGAGTCCACTGAAGGGAAACATCTGGAAGTGGCTGCCAGGGGCAGGGGAGGAAAGCAGGGTGGCACCTAATGATGATGAGAATGTTCCAGAATTAGATTCTTCTAATGGTTGCACAACTTTGTGAATACACTGCCTATCACGAAAATGTATACTTTAAAATGGAAAATTTTATGTTATGTATATTATATCACCACTACAAATCCAAGATGGCACATGGGAAAGACACAGTTAGAGGAAACCTCGGTAACCGGAGCATTGAAGACGCAGGCACAGGTCTGCAAGCCTGGACTTGCCCGGCTGCATAGAGGCAGTGCCATGTGACCACGACCATAACCACGCCTGTGACCACGAGATGCAGTTGCCGGAGTCCAGGGCCAGGAAGTGCTTCCTGCCGGAGCCCTGCGGTGGCCGGTGCCCTGTGTGGCCTGGAGTGTTTCCTCAGAACAGCCCAGGGCCCCACCTCCAACAGCGCTGGGGGCACAGTTCTGCTCTTGCTGTCCTCGGCCTGGGACACCCACCCCACCAGCTCGCAGGCCACCTTCCTGCTTTTGGGACATGGGGCTGCTTCCCTCCTGCCCTCTCATCAGGGTGGGACTGGATGACCTCAGCTCGCTGCTGTCTGCCAGTCCATGGAGTCTCCACATCTGGCTCCTACCCAGCTCCCAAGGCCCCTTACCCACCCGCCAATCCCCTGAGTCCCAGGGCTCCGGCCTCACCCAGCCTCCATCCCCTCCGCCAGTCACCCTTTCCCTCTTTGTGTCTAGATCTCCACTTGGGCCTCTGAGGCTCATGCCGTCCCCAGCAGCCTCCACACAGGTGCTGCTCCAGGATCACTGCCCCCCTGGCAGGGCTCCATAAGGTGGACACAGTGTCAGTGTGTCTGACCTGCGCAGCAGCGGAAGTATTTGGGAGGGGATGGAGGGAGAACCTAGCTCTGGTCAGCTCCACACGTGACAGGCTCCTCTGCCTTGGGTCTGCTGCGTCCACACCTAGACCACGCCCTCCCCCAGGTGAGCTCCAGGCCCAGGGAAGGCCTCAGGTGGGGCCTGCAGCCCATCCCCCACCCCCAGCCAGGGCCTGTTCCACCAACTCCAGAAGGGTTCCTGTGTTTCAAAGACCTCCCAGGTGGGACACAGGGGAGCCCTGGGCCCTGCAAAGCCCATGCCAGGTGAGGGCAGGTGGAGAAGAGCCTCTGACCAGGGTCAGAAATTGTGCTGGGGGCCCAGCTTCATGCTGAGCTGTGCCCAAGGGCACAGAGGGCCTCGGGCAGGCTGGGAAACTCCCAGAGCCCAGAGGCAGGGAAGGCCCCCAACTCCGCACAGCAGGCCCTGGGACATGCGCCCTCAGACGGAGCCCTGCCCCCTACTCTCCAAATCCCAACAGCTCTTGCTGTGAGCAGCCAGGCACTCACTTCCTCTGTTTTCAAGGCCGCAGCAGGATGCTGCCCCCACCCCGCGTTTCCTGCTGGGCTACCAGTGGGCCTGTCCTCCCTGTGTCGGATTTCTGCCCAGCGGGGACGCCGGGCACTGGAGGAGGCTCCGGTGGCTGGTAGAGAGGGTGCTGTCCACAGCCGGCCAGTGTGGCACCTCAGGCGGGCGAAGGGGCAGGAACCCCATCAGGTGGAGGCTGCTCTCCATATCAAGGCAGAGTCTGAATGCGATTTCAAAAAAGGGAGACAAAGGGATGAGGACCCCTGCGAGCCCTGCCTGAGAGGAACTGCTGCCCCCTCCCCCGACACCGCCCTCTTCTCCAGGGCAGAGCAGTTACACAGGAAGTGTCCACTACAGACAGACTGAGAGCCCGGCGGTCACTGCCGTCTGTGAGGCCCAGTGCCAACTGCCCTGTGGGGTTCCTGCCCTTCCCTGACACCGGCCACCACGGGGGACACGTCTACTTCCTGTGAACCTGAACTCAGTTGGGGGCAACACCCCCTTCCCAAGCATACGACCCCCCAGGGACACACTCCCTCCCTAGGGATGGCACCCCCTCAGGACAGCACCCTCACCAGGAATAGCACCCCCAGTGGTCAAGGCTGCGCACCTCCTCGCCAGCACCATCCATGCAGGAAGCAACAAGCCCTCAGGGCTCCACTGAGCTCCAGGCGGTGCCCAGGCCCCAACCCAGGCGCCTCACCGGCCCTCACACTCAGGGCTGAACCCGGGGAAGCTCACCTCTGCTCAGGGCTCATCAAAACGTTTCTTTTAACCTCCTTCCAAAACCAGGAACAATGGCTCACAGGCAAACAGAAGTCCCGCCAGAGCTTGCTTTGTGCACAGCTGTGGTTGGAACTGATGGGCAATTGTGAGATCCGTGTGTGGAAGTCAGTTTCCTCCCAGCAGCCGCTGGGTCCGCTTGGGAGGCAGCAGCTGCTCGTGTGCCTGAGTTGTAAACTGCTCACTTGCTGAAGCCACTGATGCTCCTTTCTTTTGGTCTGTTCCTCAGAAGGGGTTTGGAAACAGGCCCGGCTCTGAGCCATGCCCCCTGGGCTAGAGTGGGGCCTGCTGGTGCCAAGGCCAGGGCTGAGGAGAGCCCAGAGGGGCAGAGCAGCCAGGACAGAGGGCGCTGAGGCCAGCTCCAGGCGCTCTGCCTGTGTCCCAATTATCTGTCCAGGGGTGGAGCCCTCAGGACACCTCAGCTGCCCTAACCAGCCAGGCCTGCAGCCGGACACTTAGATGGGGCAGAGGCCAGGCGCCCTCAGGCACAGCCACTCAGGACCTCAGAGCAAGCACAGAGCTGGAGTGGGTGTCCAGGCCACTGTCCAGCAGTTAGGGGACCAGTCCCCAGACCAGGACACTGGAGGATGTCACCCACCCCTGCCTGGCTCCTCCAAGGCCACCTGGCTTGGGGCTGCCAGCTCAGGAAGCACACGCAGCTGCAGCCGCCTGTGACCTGACCGTGACCCAACACGGCCCACATCCGCAGTGGGGCAGCTCCCTCTTTTCTACCACCTAGGAGAGCTAAGTCACTGCCACCTGGCTGTGTGCATGACAGGGCCCTGGAGGGACTGTGGGGGCTGTGGGGGAAAAGGGGGTCCCCTGGTTCCGGGCATGAGTGGTCCTGTTCCCCAGGGGTGCTGCCAGAGCGGTGCAGGAGCCAGGGAGCTGGGGACCTGAGAGCCACAGCCCCAGCTGAGGCCCATGGGAGGCAAGAGTGGTGGTCAGCACTCGGGGTGGCTGTACCTGTGCTGTGCCTTAGGTTGGCCTGAGGTTCACCAATGGAGGCATCCCCGGCCAGGTGATGTCTCTGCATTCATGTCCCAGATTTAGAAGAAGTCCCTTCTGGTCCAGTGTCCAGGCCCTGTCACAAGGTGGAGGCCGGCACTTGGCCCGAGG